AACGGATGTGAAAAGGATAAAAAGGAAAAGTCTGCTGTAAACGGTATAATATAGCATAAAACTGATGATAGTGTTCAACAGGCTCCAACAATATATGTTGTAAGACAATTTACTATTCATCTTAGATATCACACAGTTCAATTATGAGCCAGAAAAATCCTGGAACATACTGCAGCTTACTATCTGAGATAAGCCCCGAGTCAAAAAAAAAAAGTTACGTGCACAATTCTGATATTAAATCCCCGCTGAGCAGCCTTGATGCGCCTCTGAATTACAAGACAGAGTCAAAAAAAAAAAGATGAAGACAAAGTGGAGAGGAAGAGGAAACACAAAGAAAGACTTCCTTTACCTTCTGTGTCTTGGCCGAGACAGGTTGATAGCAGCAGCAGATAAAGGACTCCTGTTCCCATTACACTCGGCCGTTTGACCCGGCCCCATGACAGCGGCCCCATTAAGCGCATTCTAACCATCTTCACCACCATGCTTCACCGAGCATCCAGCTGTGCAGGCAGAGAGGGAGACAGGAACACATGAACGCAGGTTAGTCACAATCATTAACCTCATATTCAGCGGTGCGGCGCGCAACAGCGAAAGCAGCAGGACAAAAACATCTGGTGGCCCCGGCTGGACCTGTTCGCAAATAGAAAAAATAAATAAATAAGTTGAAGTGCAGTAATTGCAGGTAGTGCCTCTTTGAGCGGCGTCACCTGTGCAGAGGCTTTCAGTGAACGCCGCTGTGAGAAGCACACGCGAACATACTAAACGGCATCTGCTGCTGAAAGATAGCAGCAGTGTGGAGAGTTTGGTGAACATTCAAGAAGCGGGAACTAGTTAGAGTTAGGTTCATATGAAGGTAAAAGAGAACGCACTTAACCTTACACAAAATCTGCACTCCCCATCTCCACAGACGTAAGCTTTGAATGAAAAGATGTTTTCCATATTGACAGTGCACATACATCCCCGAGGTGAGATGCCCTCACAATCTAAAGCTCAGATGGCATTTAATATTCATTTTGTGGCTGCACCTCACAGCTACTCCGCCGCAATCTAAAATGTTTGATCAATCTTTGTGCTCATGCATCAAAGTAAATGATTGTTTCACGGGGATTGCCAACTCAATGGAAAATATAGAAACCTGTGGATGATGATAGAGAAGGAAATATTTTGTGCGATGTAAAACGCCGGCGGTGCCAACAACATCTCAGATCTCGCAGTGGAAAATTTGCCACATTTGAAATGCTATACAGAGGAGAGGGTGAGAAAAGTACATTAAGCTGACGTGTGCGTGTCTGTTTTTGTGTGTGTGTGTGTGTGCGTGTGTGTGTGTGTGTGTGTGTGTGCGCGCGTAGCCTCTCCGCGTGCACGTCGCCTAAGATGAGATTAATTACATGTTATAGAGAGAACATGCAGCTGAAGGGAGAAGAGGTTTCTTTGAAGTTAAAGTTACAGAAACACAGCGTACTGTCTGAGCCTCTGTGTACATGTCTATAAATTAGTCTTTCATTGCTTTGTAGTTGAGCTCAGACTCATCTAGCATCAATGCTGCCCATTTACTCAGTCGCAACATCAAATCTGAAGTTCAAATGAAGTACAAGAGGAAACGTCTTTCGCTCTCAGATACTCAACGGATATGTTAATGTGTGTTTTACATGCTACTCCTTCAGTTCAGGGGTCACACTGATGCAAATGATTGCAGATAAACACTAGACTGGGATGCGTTTTGACTGTCTTAAACTCGAATGTATGTTGAATAAATGTTCACCAATCATTCCAAACCACTGACTTTAAATAAAAATCAGTTGTGGACCTCTGAGTAATAAGTTTGAGAACCTTTGTCCCAGACATTTGCAGGCTAAATGTCACGGTCTGACCAAAAGAGGCTGTCCAATAAAGTTCAAAAAGTGATTTTCAGAAGAAGTTTTATGGCTACGGACAAAACTAAATGGAGAAAACTGATCTGCTGTGCTTATAGTTTATTCATGGCAGCTGTAGTGATTTCTGCACTCACACATAATTATTTAACTTTGTTCAAATTGTGAATATTCAATTTACTTGCTTGCTACTTCTGCAGCGGATGGCCATTTGTCAGACTGAAAGGAGGCCTCAAGAATACATCTGTCCTTGTTGAGACAGTTACATCTCATAATATCCAACAGAAATTCAATTATCTAAATGATTCAAGATACCGCGCCATGGTATGCAGACACCTTAACCTCCTCAGACCTTTTCGTTCCAGTCTTCATTAGCTCATTTCCATGGTAATGCTGAGAATATTCTTTACCCTAAACAAAAGATTATCCTTAGTAGGACTTTAACAGAGACCGAACTCAGCAAGGCTTACACAGTCAGGACAACATTAACTGCTTCCCGTCACGGAAAATCTGCCGCCTGTTTAATTAGGACTGATTTATGAAGCTCCCGTGGCAGAGATTACTGTGACAGAGTCAGATTACTATTGCCCTACCCTCTGAATGGAGATGAAGCTGGCTGATAATGAAAATGTAATTGTGATATTCTACCAAACCCCAGAGGTGAAATCCAACAGTCATGGGGACTTGAACCAGGAGAGGCTTCACTGGAAGGACACTCTTTAGACTCACAATGCCGCCGCGCCTCTTAACTGGGTCTAACGTATTAAACTCCCCGTCTATTCATAACGGTGTGCAAGTGCATGTGGTGGACAGTAATCAAGATGTAACAGGGTGTCAGAGGAAGCCTGCGGGGGGAACTGATAACACTGCTGACATTGCAGAGATACTCCGTCTCAACTGGGAAGCAGATGGGATTTTTTTTTTCGGTGGTGCGGATTTTTATGAATCACCAGGGACCCTAAATGTTTATGAATTCAAAACTCCGAGTCCTGTTGATGAGTTTTATAAATAATTCTAGTAGTTTTTTTTTTTTTAATAAGTCTGTGTCCCCAGGCAACTAATCTCTGTGCAGAACCCTTGGTAGTCATATTGTGATATTGGCAAGAAACTGATGGACACATGAGGCTGAGTTTGCGCCACGGGCATTTGTGCTGGCTTGTCAGTGTATTTAAAATTACATTAGACGCACCAAAAGCAGTTACAGTCTGTCAAACTTTAAACTAACTATATTATGTGAGTAGCAATGTCGCAACGCCAGGAATATAAATATAATGTTAACTGGGGTAAGGCGTCCTTAAAAACGAGGTCTTTCAAAATATATGCATACATTGAAAATCGATATACTACGTAGGCAAGAGATATGCTTAAGTGAACAAATTTCAAAGGTAATAAAATCATAGCCGACTACAACTTTGTTTTAATAGAACTAAATCTAAAATCTTAATCTTCCCTCACAATGAAAAGCCTCCGGGGTGAACCTCACCTTACAAGTCAGTCTGATTATTAAAATGTGTCACTTATGCAATAACTTTGTGTTCAGATTTTGATTTTACTCTACCTGCAAAATCACAATGAGAGAGATTCTAACTTTACTATTATTTTACTGTCATTGATATTTAAATTCCTAACAAGTGATTGTATGAATATTCACCCTGTTCAAAGGGACTTTTCTAATTCAAGGTGCTAGAAGTCAGGCAATAGTCATCTAAGTGTCTCAAGTAATAGTAGTATAAAGACACCTCTATCTCGAAGGTCCAATTACTGGTGACTCAGTATTCCTGGATATAACAGCATCATGAGGACAAAGGAGTACTTCAAGCAACTCTGTTGAAAGGTTTTTAATCAGTATAACTAACAGGATGGATACAAGAAAGCATCTGAGTCACTGAATATTCCATCCTTTAGAAGAATGACCGTAAACGGAAGAGACTAGTGAGGGAGGCCACTAATACCCGTTTTCCACCAAGAAGAACCAGGTGCTAGTTCCATCCTGGTACTAGGGCCAGTGCTGTGTTGGTTCCAATCTAAGAACCGGTTGCTTTTCCATCAGCAATGAGCCAAGCTGGAGCCTCGACATACGTCACTGCATACGGAGCTGTTTACCGAACAACACTCGCGCCACATGGAAGTCCACATAAGACTCCAGACTGACTTTTTTTACCGGTGTGACCAACTTTCTCATCTGTTCACATTTCCCATCTTGTCATAAGCAAAACGTACAACTTGCTGAACATTTTCTCATCGACAGACACGAACAATTTACAATGTTCCCTGAACGCCCCACATAGCAGGCCGCGGTAACTCCTGTTGGTGGTTGCGCTGCTCAGACCGGTGTGAGACCAAAAATGACTTTTAAAAAGAGTAAACTAGGGTGTTCTAGTGTCAGATTTCTTTTAGCAGAATAAACAGCGCATGTAGGTGTGCTCCGTTTTTCATGAGAAGACCGCATTTCTAAACGTAAATACCGCATTACACCGAAGTTATAAAAGTCCTGGTTTCCACCACTGTGGTGCCGCTGGTGGGACACAATTGTACCGGCTTTCAGGGTGCAACAGTTTGTGCAAAACTTCTGTTTGTCCTGGGACTCATTTCAATACATCTGTGATCGGACAGGGAAGGCCTGGTGACAAACGAGACAAATCACCGCTTGTGAGTCCATTTCATCGGCCTCGGTGGTCACTCCGCCCCCAGCCCCTGCTGTACTCAGTGCTTAGCTCTGGCCCAGCAAAGAGTTGGTGCCTCAAAAGCACCAGTTTTGACAGCCTGGAGCCGGTGCTTAGGTGATGGAAACACAAAGAGCTGGTGCTAAGTCAGGCACTAGCACAGAACTAGCACTGGAACCGGTTTGGTGGAAAAGGGGTATAAGACACCTATGATGCCTCTGACGGAGAAACAAGCTTCAGCAGCTTAGATATGAGAGACTAACTGTTGCCTGTTCTTCACCAGTCAGAGCTTTATGGAATAGTGGCAAAGATCAGTCTAGATGTCACATTTTGGCAGACAGCAAACACTGTGAACCATCACAAATGCACCATTCCCCCCGTAAGGCACGGTGGTGGCAACATCATTATGTGGTGATACAGCAGTAGTGGACAAATGGACCATGACATGAAGCAGACAAGCAAAGATTCACAGAAATGGTTTAAACACAACGAGGTGAATGTTATGGAGGGGTCAGGTCGCAGCCCAGACATCTAGCCAATGAAGAATTTGTAGTTGAACTTGAAAACGGCTATTTACTGACAATCCCCATGCAATCCCCTGGTGTGGGGAGAAACAAAGGATTATCGTATCTTATCTTATCTTATCTTATCTTAAGCAGTTTTGCAAAGAAGAATGCTGTAACATTGCAGTGTCCAGATGTGCAAGGCTGATTTAAACATATCTGCACAGGTTCAATGCTGCAATTGTGGCCAAAGGTGCATCTACCAACCACTGACGACTAATGTACTTATTGGAAGTTTTAGATTTTTAATAAATTAATAATACTTAGTAGAAATCTGTTTTCACTTAGACGTGAAAATTCGCAAACTCTTGTCAAACAGGCACAGTTAAATTGACCACAATTCAAAAGTGAAATGTAAGAAAACGTTCATAAC